ACTCCACTGTATATGGTACCTTGTTGGTTTTTTAAAAAATGTTAAATACTGAAATCCTTAGAAACTTTTGATGCTCTCTCTTTCTCGCTTGGACATTCCGCCATGGTGTAATGCTTAGCAAGCTTGTCTCGCTAAAACACTTAGTAGTGAGTTCGATCCCTGCTGGGTACCCTATATTTTCAATCTAGTACCACATCTAAGCTATGCTTAGAAAATTAGTGTACATAGTGCGACTACTTATGAATTCATGGTGATTGTAGTAAGAATGGTAAGTAAGGAAGTGTTTTGATAAAGAGTATTGTGGTCTGTCTGGGTCAATGATTGTGGCTAGCTAAGTTAAAGATAGAACTGTTTGAAGACCAGCTTTCTCCATCCCTCCTTTTGGCCTTGTCCCACATATAAGAGAAACCCGGATATAAGAGAGATTTTCTCTGGTCCCAAATTAGAGCCTGTGTTAATGTATATAAAAAAAAACAAACCCGGATATAAGAGACTTCTTCTCCGGTCCTGACAACTTTCTTATATCCGGGTTACACTGTATTTACAAAAATAATTATTGCTCTCTCTTTCTATCATATGTGTGAGTGAGAGAGTATTAAAAAAATAAATCATTAACATCAGAAGAAAGTGTTAATACTATTTTTTTTTTAAATAGGGCTTACAATTACGATTCACTGTGAATAAAAATGATTATTTTCTAAAACATTATTTTCAAACAAATTTTTGGATATGGAGACATGGAAAACGAGAAATTCTATTCTCAATCCTGGATATATATATATATATATATATATTTTTCTCTCTCTGTTGAAAATTGCTTGATGCATCTTATTTTTACCAAAACTAGAAATAAAGGCAGTTTAAGTGAACTCATTTTTAAACAAAAAATTGTTTTTACTTAGTGTCTTCATGTTCTCTTTTTTCTTTTCTTTTCCCCACCCCCAGAAAAATTCCAACAAGAAGATTCATTTGTCACTTTTTTAGTACCTACCAAAAACAGATATGTACACTTTTAGATAAAATGTCTACTTCAAAAAATCACTGCTAAAAATAAAATAAAAAAATCAATCCTCACAGGAAAGCAAAATTTTCACATTAAGAATGATATTCTAAATTTAAACATTTAAAGAAAGATAGAGAATTTTCAAATGGCAATAAAAGCAACCATGATTGCACATTTCAGGGAGATTAAAAAAAAAGTGATTCCTTTGTCAATTACTTCCGATACATATTCATTGAATAGTTTTTAGCAATGACTTTTTTCTGTTGTTGGCAACAAAACAAGTGCTTAAATAAACTGTTCTAAATATAGTCTTACAGAAATACGCAAAATGCCAGTCTATTTATAAAGTATATGAATTTCACAATAATCATTTTGATAGCTTTCCTGTGTTTGAAAAGCGGTTATGATCTGACCCACATCATGTAGCTGGTGTGATCTGAAAGTGGAGCATCTGAACTTTCCAATATTTGAAATGATCATGTTACATAAAGCACACAAATAATAATAGCGTGATATTTTATATATCTATATTATAAAAGAAGCATCTCACTTTGCATAAGCACTGTATATATGTATCTATCTATCTATCTATCTATCTATCTATATATATATATATATATATATATATATATATATATATATATATATATATATATATATATATATATATATATATATATAGAGAAGATAGATATATCTTATAGATATTTTATTTTTATATATATATATATATATATATATATATTGTTCAACCATGTTTCAAAAATTTATTTTACAAATAAATTAAAATATTTCATCATTTTTGAGGGCTCATATTGTTTCTTCAAATAATTATAATATATATATATATATATATATTGCTCTTTATGGATCTATGCTTTTAATATTTTAATATTTTTATTAAAGACCTACTTGGATTATCCTTTTCACTTATGGATTTGATACGGTGGAGTGATGGATAAGTGGTTCGGATTGGTGAGCCGTGTGCGACATTCCAGTCGAATCTATTACATTCACTTACATGCTAATACAGTTGGGAAAGGTATAAATCTTCTTCTTCTCCCCCCCACACCACAGCCATGGGGAAATAGCAGGATAGACCGGGTTCTATAGCCTTGGATGGCAACTGGTCTACAGCAGAAAGAAATGGCAACCTACCGCGGAAAAAAATCTGCCTCATCAGTCATGTATCGAAAGATACATGATCGCTTAAGTATGTATCTCACATGGCACATAATTGACTGATGTATATCTATCTATCTATATCTATATATATATATATATATATATATGTATGTACGTATGTGTGTGTATGTTTGTGTTGTGCATCAGTGACTTACATGTGCTTCTGCTATTTAATTATATTATGCAAGTACACACATACAAACATGGTTTGACTAAGTTTGAAATAATACATTGGAATAATATATTCACTTCTCAATCAGTCTGTTCTGTCCCTACCTTGGGCTTAGCAATAAAATCATAAAGTTTGAGACA